AAAAAAAAAAAAAAAAAGAAATACTGTTTTTGAAATTAATTTGTGGTCTCAGGTGAAAAATTGAAAATACATATGGTAAAGAAATGAAATTAATTCTGCATATGAAGAGAGCATAATTGTACCCGTGCTGCATAGTTAACTCTCACAATTGAAACCAGATGAAGAGATGAACATTCTAGCAAGAGTAAGTGAAAACCTTGTAAAATTTTCAGATTGTTTTTCTACAATTAAACGTATACTGAGAGAGGTAGAGAGCAAGGCTGTGCAGTCAAACCTGGAATTGCTGACACATGTTAAGAGAGTGCACCACAGATATCAAAATGTAAAATGCCTTGAACTCTTTTCATTTAGAGTAACAAAATATGGTTTTAGTGTTCCTGCTCTATATTCTGTCTTAGAATTATCAAGCCATTTTCTAGATTTTTGTTTTTTAGATGGAATCTCTGTCACCCAGGCTGGAGTGCAGTGACGCAATCTTGGCTTACTGCAACCTCTGCCTCCTAGGTTCAAGCAATTCTCCTGCCTCAGCAGACTTCAGGAGCCTGCCACCACACCCGGCTAATTTTTGTATTTTTAGTAGAGACAGGGTTGCACTGTGTTGGCTGGGATGGTCTTGACCTCCGGACCTCATGATCCCACCCACCTTGGCCTACCAAATTGCTAGGAATACAGACATAAGCCACTGCACCCAGCCTTGATTCTAGATCTTGACACAGCACATCTTCAACTTCAACTTCTATACTGTCTCTGAGGATAGAAAAGCTGGGTGATATGGAAGAACAAAACCAATCATTTGTTATAACCCAAGGAGATTTTATTTCTGCCTGTTGCCCTGGGCTCTCAGAAGTGTAGTTCTGGCAGACATTACTGGAAGGTAGAAGTGGGAAACAAGCCTAAGTAAAAATTTGGTGTGTGCAAGACTGGCTTCTTAGGAACTGGCAGGATCAGCCTTCAATTCTGGGTAGATTTTGGGCAATTGGGTGATATGTAAAGAGTGGTATGTTGCATCAGGCCCTATGAATACCCAGCTTCTGCCAGTAGTAAAACCCAGTAAGATCTGTATTTTTTTGGACTATAAATCAGATTTAAAAAATATAAATGATAGGCTTGTTCTGTATATTCTTAATGATTCACAAGAACTGTTTGGCCTTATTTCTATACTGAAGCAGACTCTGAATGCCTTAAAATCTGTTCATTATTAAATACTGAAAGACAAAAAACAAGTAAATGAATGTTTTAGTTTTTATAGGTAATTCAGCCAGTATATTTATTTTTTCTCCTAAATTTTTGGCAGCTATAAAAGCATGGTCATAATGTCTCTTTCATAGATACTATGAACATCAATTGTTTTGATCTCAAGATATTTGAGAATTACATTACCCAACATGTCCAATACAATGTTTTTAAAAAAGTTGCCTATTTAAAAATTCTGTCAAATTTGAATTGCATACCTAGCTAAATTTTTTTTAAGATTGAGGATAAGATATAAAATAATTCATACAAGTAATACAAATTAAGTTTACTAAGAAATTTAATTACATTTTAAATAGATTGCTTTCATTTGTTAATATTTGTGTCACATATATTTAAGATTTTGCCTCTAAAACAGGTAACAATTTGAAAAAAGAACAAAACAAAATTCAATGATTGGCATGAAAATAAATGGTTTGTATGATGCCCTAATTAAAATGATGTAAAGCATAAAAATCTTAATAATGGTATTTTCTGCACATTACTATTTCAGAGTTCCTTTTGCCCAGAAAAGTGTAAAAACAATTAACTATGTTCTTGAGACTCTCTTACTGATTTTGCCACTTAGACTCCAGCACAGGCCCAGGGTTCCCTAGGTATTTCTTTCAGAAGAACATCTAATGGAAATGAAGCAGAAGACTGTGGTGCAGGTTGCAGAAACAGTAGGCCCTTCTTGGAAGTCCAGGAAGGGGCTATGGGCACCATCCTAAAAAGTGGTCCTGGAGCTTCAGTGAGCCCTCCTGCCTGCAGGGGTCTCATGGAGTCTTGGGGGAGGCCAGCCTAGGTGCTCTGTCCTGTCCCTGGCCCTTGAGTCCTGCCTCACCTGCTATCTTTTTTCACAAAGAAAGCAGATGGCACCCCCCTCCCCCAGTGCAGCCCCAGTAAAGGAAGGAGATCAAGAGAGTCAAGGCCCAAGCCCATCTTGGCACATTAAGTGACTTACTGATGAACTAGTCAGTAAGTTAGAGCAGAATGTGCTGCTGTAATCTGAGATCACATTCTAGGAAGAAACCTGAGTGGCCCCTGCCTGAGGCTTTGTACTGGAGGAAGGATGGACAGGACAGCATGTGCCCCTAGCCAGCCTGGAGAGACATGGGCTTGGGAAGAAGAGACAATAAGAGTGGCATACAGCAGACATGCTGAGCAATCAGATGGACACAGAGGGCTAGGAATGAAGAGTCCCTGAGGGGTGAACCCTCTCAGGACCCTGAATTCAGTCCAGAGATTCCCCAGCCTTTTGAAGCACAGGCTTGTACCTGGAGCTGCAGGGTGGGTGCTGTGCAGTAGCCTGGTAAAATTGGGGTGAGCAGTCACTGAAGGGCTTTCATGGCCCCCCCCCCTTTTTTTTTTTTTTGGATGAGCAAATTGAGCCCCCAGAGCCACAAGCCAGGAAAGGCAAAGTACTGACCTTAAGCATCACCTTTTTTCTTCACTGGCTCCCATAAGCCTCAGACGTCCCTGAGCTTGCCTTGTAGAAAAAGATCCCTCTCTTGTGAGTGTAGACACAGAAGCAACCAGTCTTGTGTGGTAACCCCACCCACAATCACTTTTTGTGGGCCCACCTGCATCTCCTCACTCCACTGGCCTGTGAAACCCAACTGGCATTCCAGAATCCACAATGCACACTTGGTTCTAGAACCAGAGTTCTGCACCCAAGCAGAGCTGAAGTCAGCCAGTTAATTCCATGGCACAAGGTCCAAATTAGAGAACTGACTTGACTGTTCAGCTGCAGCCAGGCAGTGTATGTACTGTTCCAAGCAGGTCCCATTCTCTTCCTGCTTCAAATTATTTCACCTGCAACTTGTCATTTGTGCCAGCTCTTTCTCTAACCCACACATCCTATGGTTTTTGAGATTCCTCTGAAGACTGCATGAACCAAGGATTAAGGGTCACAGTGCTGTAGTCTGCTCACACGGTGCCAGGAAGAGAGCTCTCTCACTCTACCTTGACACCTAAGAGTTACGTCTAAATAATACCAGTTCTAGGTGGAGGTCTGTCATACTCAGACTCTTCTATGGTCTCCATGCCAAAAGATATGTTAAAGTGACAAGGAAAATAAGACACAGACCTGGCAGTTCTGCCTTTTAAAGGGCAGCCTCAGCCTGGTCACCTTGAACCACAATTTCAGGGTCTAGTTCTGCATGTCCCACCTTGGAAAATAGTGAAACGGGGGTCCCAGGATAGCATGGTCCAATGAAAATCTGGAGAACGGACATCTCAGCAGCCTATACACACCCAGTCACACCTGGAACAGGAACAGACCCTACCAACTAAGAAGCCGTCTCATTACCTAAGACAACTGTACCATCAATGTGCACACATATCAGGCCCTTTACATAAACTGTCAACCCAACAATTCAAGAAAACACAAAACCTTTTAAAATCTGTCCCAGGAAGAACCTCCACTTCCAAGCTAAAAAATCTAGTAGTGGCCAACCTGGAGATTATTCTTTATCTGTGAGCAATATCTGAGATCCTGGTCTGTCCCATCCTATGGTATGGGAGACAGGCCACACGAGATTTTTTATTAAAGGAAAGCTGACAGGTGAAAGGTTCAGAAAACATGCTAAATTAAATGCTGTACAAATTGCATGCTTTTTGCAAGTGGACGTGGTTATCCTGCTAACCCCACTGACACTGGACTTTCTCCCTTCCGTAAGTCCCCAGTAGAACTCCCTATCTCGTTCACTGGTTCTTAGTCTGTTTTTGACATCTTTAACCTGGTACCATTTTCTTGGAAATTGAATTTGACACAACTTACCCCATAGTGAGGAAGGATTTCAGGTTCCGCTCAGTATACTTCAAAACTCACCAAGGCATTAGCTATACAAAGATGCAGTTGTTCTCTTTACCACTCTTCATCCAGGCCTCTTCCTTAGATGTACAATCAGTGAAATACTAGGAAAGATGAACAAGAAATACATTGTTTTCTGAAGCAAGATGAATGCCAGAATAGGTGGTGACCACTTGGAAAGCAAAAGGTAGCATTCTTCTCCTGTGTGCAGCCCTCAACTTTTGTCATCACTTTCTGGCTTCAGTAATAGGTTTTGAGCTCCATCCTGCCTCTGGAGAAACCAGGGGACCTGGGAGGTAAACATCTTCACTTAATCCTGGTGCAACAAAGCTTTCTCTTGACAAATATGACCTCTGTGATCGTGAGCTTCTAAGCAAACTGGACAATGCACAACCAGAAAACCTATGAAAGGGAGATGAGTAGGTCTGAGGAAATCAATTTCCCACTTTTTCCCTCGGCAAGTTCAAACAACTGTGGTGGTAGACAAATGTGGAGAAGAGGACAACATACTATAGCTCCTCATCATGTGAGTTTACCACCAAGAGTTTTTAATCCTAGCTGTGAGAACTCCAAATTAAAATCTGAAGTTATTTCACTGGGCATGTATTAATGATTGATTGTACAACATTTTGTCTATCATACTGAGGTGTCTTCACTGAGGATTTTCCCATTGAACATTGATAAAGACTGGAAAAGGAAAATAGCAACTCCATGAAATCATTAAACAGTGGAGAAATGTTCATCTCATTAGCATTTTTGCACATATTTGCATGTATACCTATAAAACTGACATTTTCACAATTATATGTCAAGTTTAAAAACATACATACTTTTTGGCCTCACATGGTGGCTCACACCTGTAGTCCCAGCACTTTGGAAGGCTGAGATGGGCAAATCGCTTGAGGTCAGGAGTTCAAAACCAGGCTGGACAACATGATGAAACCCTGTTTGTACTAAAAATGGAGGAAAAAAGGCTGCAAGTGGTGGCGGGTACCTGTAATTCCAGCTACTTGGGAGGCTGAGGCAGGAGAATGACTTGAACCTAGGAGCCAGAGGTTGCAGTGAGCCAATATTGTGCCATTGCACTGCAGCCTAGGTGACACAGCAAGACACTAAAAAATGAGTATTTTTTCTGTTTTAACAACAAAAAGACACATGTTGTCCAGACATGCCCTGATGGAGTGAAGTGGTTGTGGAGTTTGCCCTGGGAAAGAAGAGTCGGTGTCCTGGATTATGTGTGGGGAACCCATCGGGACACAAGGAGGTAGTCAGGACCTTGGCCCAGCAACACTGAGGCTTGCAGGGGCCTTCTGAAAGCAGCAGAAATGGCCCATGACACTGAATGCTAGATGGGCCTGTAACAATGAAATATCTGCCCAGGGATCTTAGCAGCCCTACTAGGAGGCCCTGACAATACCCTGGATCGGAAACTCCTTGGGTTAGAGTGGCTGCCAGAGAGCCTCAAGAAGCAAGAGTCTTGATCACTATGGCTGGGCCAATTTAAAATTGCTCATCTCTTCTGTTTTACTAAACAAAATATAGAAAAATAAAGTAAAAAAAAAAATTAAAAATAATTGAAAAATAAGGATAAACTGAAAATAGAAAACTAAGGAGAAATGTAATTAATATCAGTAAAAAATGAATACAGTAAAATTAAGAAATCAACTGAAATAATTTACAATAAAGTTAAAAATTTAAGAATAAGGAGAAAATAAAAGTGGAGAAAAAAATATGAAGGGATATGAATGGAAAAAGTTACAAACATACAAATTGGAGAACATTTGACATGAGAATTTAATAAGAAAAAAACTAGAAATTAAAAAATGAGTGCAAATAAAGTGGCAAATATACAGAGAAATAAAAGGATAATCAACAAAACATTTCATCCAGCAATAGCATAATAGATAATATTTGTGATTACATATGGCGTGTTTTCTTTTTTTGTGGAGATGGGATTTCACCATGTTGGCCAGGATGGTCTCAATTTCTAGACCTCGTGATCTGCCATCCTCAGCCTCTGGATTTCTCAGATTCAGTATTCTTTTCTAGGACTTCAACCTAAAGCTTGGAATTGGGGTTGGGACAAAAATGTGTCTCAGGGGATTACATGGACTTCTTATCATGAGCTGAATGCTAAGGTGAAGCTGTGGAAGTGAGTCCTCTTTCCACAAGGGAGGGAAAAGAATGTCTGTGACCCACCTAGATAACTAGGGGCTATAGTTATGCTTGCTAAGATTTGGGTGGGCACCTTATTCCCATCACTTTGCAAGATAATTGTCCAGAACTAGCATATTAATCTACATTTTTACATTACCCTTCTCTTTTTATTTCTTCTGAGCTGCGGTTAAAGACTGCTAGTTGGTTTACAGGAATAAGCAGGGTTGGTCTAAAATGTAGGCAAAAACTCTAATGAGTTTGGAAATTAATGACAAATGTATAGTAAGTTTTGAGACATAATCTTTCCTATCCAGTCTCCTTTTTCGTTAAAAACAAATCACGATAGGACTGACTTGTTTGTGAAAGAAACTTTAGTCTTACATGGCCTGATTACCTGCATAGAGTACAGCAAGAATAATTATTTCTACATAGGTCTTTTTCATTGGCTTTGAAGGAACTCTGTTCCACAAGAAATTTCAGGTGGAACTTTCTCAGGTTAAGTGCAGCCATGGGTTTGTACCATCAAATACTTGTAAGTTGGGCATTCTCTCCTCTTACGATCCCAAGATAATCTTGGAGCTCGTGGGGCTGTCAGAAAGTGTTATTCTTTACTTACCACAGATCAGAAACCCTGCACAACAACTGTGTAGATGAGCTATGAAGCCAGTTTTTCCAAGGGGCATTGATTGGCTCTGCAAGTTGAGCTTGACTCCTTAAAGGGAAGCATACCATTTCAGTCAATGCCTTGGTAAAACAACCAGCTTCTCCAACTGTGTTCTGTTGCCAAAAAAAAAAAAAAAGGATTACTATTGCACAGATGCAAACAACTGTATTACCATAAGATAAGAATACGCATAACTGTTTTTCAAATTGTGGAGAAGCCAAGCAGAGAGAAACAAACATGCTCCAAATTTTGTTCACAGGAGTGCAACTTACTCAAATATTAAAGGTTGTAAATAACTCAAAAATAAGTTTCCTTTATTCTGGTAATTTCTGATTACAAGAATCAGTAATGTTACAAGCAAAAATCAGAAAGATTACTTCAGTTTTTTATTAGTCCAGTGCATTCAGTTAACTCTTGTTTTATTTGATATTCATGTGTTATACTGGACCGAGCATAGAAATTAACACCAAGACAAAAGTATGCCAGATTGCAGGGTCATTTATTATGCCAGCGGCCATGGAGGACTCACGTCTCTCCAACCTGTGGCGTCGAAAGGAGGGTGCCAAGACTTTTTATACCCGAAAAACCACCTTGGGAGTGGGGGTGAGGAGCAGGGATGGGGACGAAAAGGCTTCAGACATTCCGAGGGCTAGTGGATTCTGTAAATCACCTCCTGGGCAGAGATGAGGGTGGGGGTCTCCGGACATTCCAAGGGCTAGAGGACATCTTGTCACTTCGATTGTTACCTAAGTGGCTTAAAGAAGTTAGTTTATACATTGGATACTGGTGGAAGTCACAGATCTTAATTACTTATTACAAGTCACAGAAGACAGGATGGAATTAGCTTGGGCTGCTTATTTTAGTTATTACTGGTAAGCAAAGGCTAGCAATTCTGGCAGTTACTGATAAGAAAAGGTAAGCAGCTTTACATAGTTTGCAGAACAAATTAGCAGTTCTATCTACAGAAGCCAAGGCCAGCAGTTATTGTGAGGAGAATGGGGCAGCCGTTGCAACTTATTTTAAAAACAGCTTTTTCTTTTATGAAATGATGATGTTCAGCCTCTAACTCTAGGCCAGCTACAGCACAATATCACACGTGAACATTTTAGATCTTCATGAGTCCTGTATGTTTTTCCTCTATTCCAATGTCACAAGCTCCAAAGCTATCAGAAGCCTGAATTTGAGAGTACTTGTTAAAGTTCTATGACTGAATAAAAGCCATTATTTGAAAAAAGTCAAAACAAGACAGCAATTGTCTGTTTATAAAATGTTCAGGGTAGTTACAGTCAGAAACATGATTGACAAAAATTTTTGGTTATTTCTGTGGTTTACAATAACTTAACAACCCTAATTGTGGTTGAAAGCATATACTTCAGACATTAGAATTTTAGAAATTTCATATAATTTTGGAACATGTATTAATATTATTCACCAAAATATCTAAGGAATAGTGAACACCATTTTGGCAACTCCATATAACTAAACGTGATAAAATTCTGTTTATCTTTTTTGTGGATACTTCAAGAGTCCTCTTTAGCATCCAAAAGCCAGAAATTAGGAAAGATAATTTTGTAACTAAAGTTTGATTTTGAGAAGAATGTTACATATTAGGGGTTTAAAACACTTGATATTATAAAGTTTCAGACTACCATAAATTACTTATTTAACCAAAATGATTGTTCAGAAATGTAGAAAGCAAAAACCTTTTATAATTTACTAATTTTGCTAAAGAACACATTTGTGCCTTACAAATATCTTGTGTTTTTATTTCAGTGCTTGATTTACAAAAAAGATCCATATAATACCTTTTTGAATGTAATTAATATTCACACACAGAATTTCTTTGGCAAGATTTATTTTTACAGTCTTTCCACAACTTATTTAAACTTTTAGCTTTATCTAATTCAAAAAAACTGTTTGACCCTAGGCAAGAATGTATATTTCCATACCTCCTTATAATGTTTTATTAAAAACACATTTTACTGCTTACACACCTCATATGTAAATTACTTCCAGTGGCTTCAATTACATGTTATAATGGTAACTTCTAGCAATTTTAACTTTAAAGTCAAACCAGGTAAGTTTTAATTATGTGCTAGGTGCAGCCAAGGGTTTGACTCCTTTCAGCATAATTGAGGGTGTGGTTCATTCCATATGTCCTCAGGCCTTACCAATTGTGAAGCAAAGTACAACTGTTCTCAAAAACAAACAAAAAGCAGTTTGTAACCTTAAAACATTTAGCAAACCTAGTATCTGACCTGCATGATTTAATCCACGTACTCATATATTGAAGACATTTGTGTTTTACCAGTTATCTTTAAAGCTGTTTTTATTTCTGAAAGATTAAAGTTATGTGAACTAAAACAGCTTTTATCTTCCCTTCGGAAAGTATTTTATCCAAGTGCTTATCATTCTTTAAATTTTTTAGAGCTCATTTTTTATAGACATCACACACACAATACTTATATAATTACGCAGGCAGAAGAAAACCCAGTAGCCATAAGATTTTTTTATTTGCCATTTCTTGATTGAATTACTGGCCTTTCATGCATGCATTAGAGTGACAAGAGAACATGAAACAAAAAAACTCAGTTGGCTGAGAAAAAACTTTTCCCAGCAAAAGAAGATCCCAGAAGAGAAAAACATAATATAAAGGTCTTTTAAATATTCCTATAAGTTGGATATCCACTTTTAATTAAGTTCAGCATTCTTTAAGAAAATCCTTTTAAATTCTGTATTACCTGACTCTAGCAGTATCAAGCAGCCAATATTTTTGGCTTTCAAACTTTACCAAAGATAACTTATCAGGTTCTCAGAGGAAAAAAAACTTAAAAGTCAGTTTGTGAAGGGTAAGAGAATCAGCAAATGGCAACGGTTACATGCTGACATGAAACCTGAAGGGACTCATTCCCTAAGCCAGGATTAGACCTACAACACCATTGTAAGATGGCAGAGGCCAAAACAAAACATTGCCATGTGGTTACAGGTCATACTCCTAAAAACTAAACAAGATGGAGGTCTGCTGCAAAATTTTCTACCAATCATACAGAATGACATACAAAGCATGCCAGACTGGCCACAGCTCAAGACCAACCTCACAAATATACTTTCACAATTAAAACTCTACAAAAAAAAATATAGGCAGTGATTGTTGGGGTCCTAGCCCAGCAAAACATTTTCAAAGCAAAAAAATTCTTTTGCTTAAAAGTAAACTGCTGACAGAATGAGAAAAAATTTTTAAAAGGCTTATGTGTAGGGCAGGGAAGAAAATATTCTTATGCAAATGGGTTTCTTCAACAGAGAGAAAAACTTAATTGTTGTTGGATGAGACTTGATCCCTTGGCTAGTGAAGGTGAAGGCACCATGAATGTCTGACATTTTCCAGCCCAGAGGAGATGGGGATGAGGAGCCACCATTCTCCTGTCCATCCCATATGTCCCTGAGGCTGTTGGGGTGGGTTGGTACACAGTTTCCTCTACCCTTGGGAGAGGTCCAAGGATGAAAAGGCTTACAAACAAAATAATTTTTTGGTTTACTTTTTACCCTTCCTCAAGCTCCACATCTAGACACTGAAATGTTATAGAACTTTCTCCATTCAGCTAAAAGCAGGATCTTGTCACATGACCAGGAATGAACAGGCTAATAGACATACTGAATAGTGATGAGTAAAGTTTATTGGGCAAAAAGAAAAAAAAAAGCAAAGTGAGAGTGACTCTTTTAACAGGCCCCTACCTCACAGATTAACGAACACCAGGTCACCACATAGCAACTGAAGAGTCCAGGCTCAAAATGTGTAAATTTCCCCTGCCAAAATGTGTAAATTTCCATGGCTCCACCTCCTTTTCCAAGTGCACAGGTGGGCATTATTCAGAAAGAAACAGGAAAGGTGGAGCTGCTTCTGAAACCAGCAGTCTAGTTTTTCAGCCTTCAGGCTGTTTTAGACTTGAAGGCGGGGTTTTGCCCAGGGCCCTTGACTGTCTTCTGTCTCCATCACTCAAAATGAGAAAAGAACAGTCTCTTTAACAAATGGGCTGGAGAATACCGAATGTTCAAATGATAAAAAATAAATCTTACCACAAGCGTAAACTTAAAATGAAGTGAGACATACTTTTTAAAGCTGTTATAATTTTTTCTTGAATTTCTTTTTCAGATAGCTTATTCTTGGCATGTAAAAATACTCCTAATTTTTGTATGTTAATTTGATATTCTGCCACTTTATTGAATTTCTTTATTCTCAAGATTTTTAGTGTAGTATTTAAGTTTTGCTATCGAGACATTTATGTGATCTGCAAACAGAGATAATTTGACTTTCTCCTTTTTTATTTGGATGTCTTTTATTTCTTTCTCTTGCATAAATCATCCGGCTGGGACTTCCAGTACTCTGTTGAATAAAAGTGGTTAAAGGAGACATCATTGTCTTGTTTCAGATCTTAATAAAAAGCTTTCTTTTTTTGTTGTTCAGTGTGATATCAGCTATTTGTTTGTCATATTTTGCCTTAACTGTGTTGAGTTATATATCATCTATACCTGATGGTACTCTTTTCCCAGGTTTATGTTTCAAGGATTTATGTTTATGTTTCATTATGGCATATCAGTTGTTTTAAGCACAAAGGCATGTTAAATTTTTGCAAATACTTTTTCTGCATCTATAATAGAAAATAAAGGTATCTAGCAGTAAACTTAATTAAAAAGATAAATACTCTCTACACTGTAAATTATCAAACATTGATTAAAATACTAAAAAATATAAAATATTTGAGATATTTTTTGTTCTTGAGTTATAAAAAATATTGGTAAAATGGCTATGCTACTCAAGGCAATCTACAGAGTCAATGTAAAGTCTACAAAAACACTTTTTTCACAGAAATAGAAAAAACAGTCCTAAAATTTATAGGGAACCAAAAAATCACCCCAAATAGCCAAAATAAAGCTGTAAAAAAAAAAACAAAGCTGAAAGCATCCAACTACCTGACTTCAAAATATACCACAAAGCTATATATAACAAGCAAAACTGCATGATACTGACATAGAAAACAGACATATAGACTGAAGTATCCAATGATCCCAGTAATAAATTTGTAAACTTATAGCCAAGTAATTCTTAAGTTGTTTAGAACACACATTTTTTAAAAAAAGACAATCTTTTAAATGAATGGTGCTAGGAAAATTGATTATTTGAATGCAGAGGAATACAGCTAGGTGCCTACTTATTACCATATTAAAACAACTTAATTAAAAATAAATAGAAGATTTAAATGTAAAACTCAAACTTATGAAACTATTTTAATAAAACAGAGAAATTCTTTATCAAATAGGACAGGAAAATAAATATTAAATAAGACCTCAAAAGCGCAGGCAACAAAAGCAAAAGCAGACAAGTGAAACTACCAGAATCTAAAAAAAAAATTACATGGCAAAAATAATGGAGTGAAGAGACAACTTACAGTGTGGGAAAATATATTTGCAAAATATACATATGACAAGGGATAAACAATGTATAACAAACTTAATAAGAATTTAGTAATAGGCAAGATACTTTAAGTGACATTTATTTATCCAAAAAAGACATACAAGTGGCCAAGTACATGCAAAGATGCTCAACATTAATTATTAGAAAAATGCAAATCAACAATAAAACACCAAACCACTCCAGTTAAAATGACTATAATCAGAAATGATATGACTCCCTTGCTAGCCCTTTCAACAGGAGGGATTTTGACATATTTCTGGGCATATCATTTAGGTGATATGACTCTCCTCTTCTGCCTGGACACTGCCCACAGGGGACATTGTGCCATACATGTGGGCCAAGCCTTCAAGTTATGCAACTTCTCTGCCAGAAACTTGCCTACGAGGAGAATATTAGAATATTTCTGCCTCAGCATTTAGGTTGTATGGCTGTCATGCCTGTTTCATTACCACAGAGTAAAATTTGAGATATACCTAGGCACAGCTTACAGCCATGATAATGACTCTCATATGTGGACCCCCACAACCAAGACTAACTTTGCCTCTTGTAACTTGCTTTGCAAACACGAGTGATGTCTTAGATCTCTTTCTGGTTAAGAGGTTATAGAAGATTATAAGAGCCTTAGATATTTTATAAAAGCCTTGTCTTGTACAGAGAGTATCATAACAGAACCCAACAGAAAGGTGAAATTGTGAGTCTCATATGCACACCCAGCTGACAGTAAAGACTCGCCATCTCACATATATAAAACCAACTGTCACACATGAAAACAGGACAGGTGTGGTATTGTAAATCTCATTTCCGGAATATTCTGTCAGTGTGATGGTGATACAAATCTTTGCTGAGCATGTGTGTGATTTGCCGCTCCAGATTGGTTCCAGCTCACATATGGAATTGTAATCTCGACCTGGGCCAACCTCTAGGTGATGTGACCCTCCTGCCTTGGCCCTTTTATCAGTAAGAATTGTGACATTTCACTGGATCAAACATGCAGGTGATATTACATTCTTGCCTGGGCCATGCCCGCAGACATCCCTGTGACATATCACTATGTCCACCACTTAGGTGATGTAACTCTCCTCTGTGGAATGGGCCCTGAACACAGGGCATGGAAGTGACATATGGCTAAGCCAGGCACACAGGTGATGGTAATCTTTTGCCAGGACTATGTTTCAAGGAGGGAATTGTGACATGTCTCTAGGCCTACAATCTAGGTGATGTGACTCAATGCTTGGGCTTCACTCACATAGAGCACTGTGACATAAAGTTAAACCTGCACCAAGCTGATGTAACTCTTTCACCTTGGTTCTGTCATAAGGGAGCCTTGCAACATATCTCAGGACCTAGCATCCAGGTGATGTGGCTCTTCTGCCTGGCTTCTGCCCATGTGTTATATTGTGACATAAAACATATACCTAAAGAAACCTCTAGATGATACAACCCTCCTTTTCTACCTGAGTCCAGCTGACTGGGGACATTGGGGCATATCTCTGAGACCATGACCTAAGTGATATGACTCTCTTCCCCTGTCTGGGCCTTTACAATGGTGGGATTTTAACATACTACTGAGCCCAGCGTTTAGGTCATGTGACTACTTTTTTTCTGAACCATGCCTACAAAACTTTTTTTGATCTCTTGGAGCAAGATGATGTTAATCTTCTGCCTGAGTCTTGAATAAAGAGGGAATTATTGCATACTTGTGGGCCCAGCACCCTGATGATGCTACTGTCCTGCCTGTGCCATAGCTACAGAGAGTATTTTGACATATTTTTGGCCCATTCTGTGGGTGTTTTGACTCTCATCTCTTGTCTAAGTTTTTTCACCTGTGCAATTTTGTCATATTGCTGGGTTCAGCACCCAGTTAATGTGACCCTCCTTTCTAGGTTCTGCTTAGAGATGGCATTGTGACATTTTGCTTGCCACATCACCTAAGTGATGTTAATTATTGCTATAATTTTTTGCCCACAAATGGGATTATGACATATACCTTACTTTAGTTCACAGGCATGATGATCAAACTTATATTGGGATTCAGGCAATAGAAGATATTTTGCCTCTCATCCCTAGGCTTTGGGCAATAGGTAAAATCCTGGGTTGCATATTTGTACAAAGCTCACAGAAGTTTACAACACAAACTCATATTGTATAAATTCCTTGGGTGGTACAGAGTTTCATAAAAAGGCCCATCAAAAAGTTAAGATTATGACTCTCAATTACACACCCAGGTGAAAGTAAAAGTTGTCACCATCCCACATTTAAAAGTCCACTCTTGAGGCACTGAGGCTAACAAATGAAAGAAGTATAAAGATGGAATTATGACACTCGTATGTAGATCTGGCCACTAGTGTCATTGTGACCCATTTTTGGAACCAGCTCACAGGCATAAAAATGGGCCTCACTCCTGAACTCAGCTTAAATGAGAGATGTTGACTATTATACTAGGGTTTAAGGCAATATATAGGATTGTGAGTCCATATGAGCATGTGGGCCTCAGAGCAGCATGCAACTGTCATGCATGCTGTATAAAGCCCTCAGACGTTGTAGAGGGTGTCATATGATAGCCCAGCCCAAATGTGACACTGTGACTCTCATATGCACACCAAGCTAACAGATAAAGATGTCACCCTCAAAGATGAGGAGATTGTGTGATATCACTCAGCCTAGTACCCAGGTGTTAAAACTTTTGCTTAAATTATTTCTCATGTGTGTATTGTGACCTATCGTTGGGTCAGAATCATTTTTTTTTTCTGAGATAGAGTTACACTCTTGTTGCTCAGGCTGGAGTGCAATGGGGTGATCTCGGCTCACTGCAACCTCCACCTCCTGGGTTCAAGCAATTCTCCTGCTTTGGCCTCCCAACTAGCTGGGATTACAGGTATGCACCACCACGCCCAGCTAATTTTTTTGTATTTTTAGTAGAGACAGGGTTTCTCCATATTGATCAGGCCGGTCTGGAACTCCTGACCTCAAGTGATCCGCCTGTCTTGGTCTCCCAAAGTGATGGGATTACAGGTATGAGCCACCGCGCCCGGCCCAGGTTCTGCAATACTACGAGTAATATCATCCTCTCCCTACCTGGATATTAGAAACAATATCACAGGGAGGGTGCACACTTTCTGCAATGTGGGGAGTAATATCATCCTCTCCCTCCTGGTTATTACAAAGAATGTCTTATGGGGGTGTACACCCCTTGCGATATTTGGAGTAACATAATCCTATTCTGCCTTAGATATTAGGAAGAATATCACAGGTGGGGTGTACATCCCCTGCGATACTGGCAGTAATATTCTC